ACACACACACACACACACACACCACACACACACACACACTCACACACACTCACACCACACACACACACACCACACACACACACACACACACACACACACCCCACACACACACACACACACACACACACACCCCACACACACACACCCCCCCCCCACACACACACACACACACACACACACACCCCACACACACACACCCCCCCCCCACACACACACACACACACACACACACACCCCACACACACACACCCCCCCCCCACACACACACACACACACACACACACACCCCACACACACACACCCCCCCCCCACACACACACACACACACACACACACACCACACACACACCACAGATCTTCACATAACAAGTATTACACTTTAACTGTGGCATTAAACACTCTAATCATGGTGCATATATTAGTGAGAATTATTTCAACTCAACTCTACAGTTACTTCTGTTTGCATTTGAGATTCTTTTTCTCTCTACTTCTTAAAGCGCCCCACCAAGAAGTTAAGAATTGATGTTTATGGTGCAGTTTTAATCACTCAAATCTTTTCTGTTCTCTGTAACACGGCCCCACCCAAGAAATACTCTACACCAATGACCCAGAATCCTGCTGCACATGTCACTTCCAGGGGGCCCTTTAACGGGTTCCCCCTTTCTGCCATGCATGTGTTACCTAACACAGTTCCCATTACAATCTGTTAAAACATGGCTATGCTGGAAGGTTTTTAAACTTTAATGTGCAGTGGAACCACTTGAGGGCCGTATTAAGAGACAGACTGCCAATCCTTTCCATAGAGTCTCTCACTCAAAAGGGTTGCAGCAGAGCTGAGGACAAATTCTGATTTTTTTTAATGGCATTTCCACCAAGCTTCTGGGTGCTGTTGCTCGGGCCCCACATCTTGGAACCCCAGTTTGGGTACCCTGCTGTGTTGTGTATTTCTTAAACTTGTGATGGCAAGGCTAGAGTGCTCATCTTGGTTCCTTCGGATCCAACCACAGTAGCAAAGGAGGCCCCAAATCATCAATTTGTGAGTCATTATTTTAGCCTCTTTCCTGTTTGGTTATTCAAAGTGTCTGTCTGTTATTCAATGCTACTGTGAGCCTTGGAAACCTCCTAAATCAAATGCAATGTGTCTTAAAAAATTAGACCAAGGAAAGTCCCATCCTCTACACCTTAGTGTTCACAATGAGAATTTAAACTAAGGAGATGGTAAGCATCTGAAAAAGCTAAGAGACAATGGCCTTGAAAGTGTACCAGCGTTACAATTACAAAACTAAAAAATAAAGTGTACCAGTGTTCATGGTAAGCACATATGAAATCAGAGACTAGGAAGGCAGTTTAAACTCTTTACAGGCTGAACCCTATCCACATCCCACAATCCCTTGTGATCAGATGGTTCCTTAGAACTTCCTCAGTACCCAGCAGGAGAAGGTTCACTCAAGAGACCCGGAGAAGAGCTGGATAGGTAGCACAGCAGTCAAGACTGCTGCCATTTCAGAGGACCAGATTCAGGGTTCACATCAATCAGATGGCTCATAACTATCTGTAACTCCAGCTCCGGGGTATCCAACACCCTCTGGCCTCACTCAGCACCTCCACACGTGTGGACATATACACATAAAATAAAAATAAAACAAATACTTAAGGGGAAATTTAGGGAAAGGACACAGTGACTCAAGTGCCAAACATGACAGTCACCAACCGTGCCTCATCCACCCTGATACTCATGATTTGATTATTTCATCATTTCCAAACTTAACAAGATTTTGTGTCCTCTGCCTTTATCTCTGTTTGTTTTATAATTTTTTATCCCAACATATTTTGACTTTTCCCATCCCTGACTTGATGGCTTCTTCATGGAGTAGTCGGAGAAATACAGGCCACAGAGCATGGAGTTTGAGTCCTAGTCCCCGTCCTTCACTGATGAACTTGGAGATGACAGGGATGGGATAGGGTTCCATGTCATAGTATGTGAAATTAGAAAGAGCATTACAGTGTTTGCAAAGCCTGGATGCTTGCTTTTCACCGATGATAGGTACTACTGAAGTGTTAAAGGAAAGAAGACACTAAGTATGGATGGATAGATAAATAGATGATAGACACACAGATTGAGGCACTTGTGTGTGTAGAAGTCTATTCAGCAACAGAGAAACAATGCACTGGATTATGATAAAGTAAGCGCCTCTTTCAAACCCTCTTTCCTTAAAAATGTCTTTGGAAATAAGCCGACAACTAAAGTGGACAGCATATAATTTGTGTAAAAGGCAGACTTCACGAGAAAACAGAAAGAACCTACAGCCTTCTTCATGGGGTTTCTCTCACCCCATACTGCTGCCAGATCACCAAGTCTCTAAGTGGGTAGAGAATGGTGAAACACCCAGAAGCTTCAGGTCCATGGAGCCTGACATCATTTGGTGCAGGAGACAACCAACCCTTGGCTTATGATATTTCTACTAATAAGTAGCTATCTCCAAGAAGCTCACACAGAAGGTGAGAGGTTCCCCAAGACTAGAGCCTTAATTAATGAAAGCAACAGGCCAGCCCTTAACCTATGTTTTAAGGAAGCAGCCTGGGTCAGAGTAGACATGACCTATTTCATGAATTCCAGTCTACATGCATTTTCACCTAGGCACAGACCAAACAAGCAAGTCTGGTGGGAACCAGAGCTGGGGCAAGAAAACTCTCCAGGCATGGATGTTTCTCTGGACTCACTGGAGTTCAGAATCACTCAGAAATTCCAGGTGACTCTGTTCAGGCACTGTTTATATCTCAGAGATATCATTCATGAAGACTTAAGGGGGAAGCATTCTTGCTGTTGGTTTTCCCTACATCTGACACCTGATGTTCTCACAAAAAAGAAGTACACATACAAAAGGGAAATGAGACAAAGCCAGAGGCAGACAACGCAGTGACAATGTTGGCACCAGCAGAGGCCTGGGTTCCCCAGAGAGTCAGAATTGGACAGATTTCAAGGAAGGCTTCTGTCCTAGAGCTCTGCAATAAGCCCAACCTGGCATCATCTTCATTACTTTGGGTTTCAGGCCTCCAGACTTAGAAGATAAACGTTCATTGTTTACACCATCCTTAAAAAGACACCCAGGAGACTAATACTACACAAATGCATCAACTGGCAGAGGGTGTGGGCCTGTGCCGAGTCACGGACGAGCGCTAGCCTGTGAAGTCAGACCCCAGCCTGAGAACTGGAAACTTTGAAAGCTGCATCTCAGTTCTAGGAGTGAGACTTCACACTGACTCCAAAACACAATACAGAAAAGTTAGAACAGGAAGTTGTTCCTACCCAGAGGCAAAGGGCAACCAAAACCATCCTAGCAAACTAGTGAAAAGAAATGATATGTGGACTCATCTCAGTTGTCATCCTGACAACATCTGGAATCAACTAAAATCAACCAGCTGAGAACTCCTGTGAGCAACTTTTTAAATCAGATAATCTGAAGCAGAAAGACTCAGCCTCTATCTGGAGAGCACCTTCTGGTGGCAGCCCTGATCAAAGGGCATGGAAGAAGGAAGCTTTGCTTGGTGCCTGCTTGGCCTCCCTCTTGCCAGCAAGTCTACCTAGGCTGGGATGGGTCATCAATCCCTTCACTGGTGTTAAAGACGCCTTCTTCTTCAGGTTCCCCACTTAGATTGAAGACCAGCAGCTTCCCAGGGTCCTCTAGGGCGTCAGTGCCAGACTGGGATTGCTGAGACATCCATTCTCACGGACTTCTAGACTTTTAGCCATAGTTGGGCTGCCCAGATCACAGTAAGCCCCTCTAATATATCCCACACATGTGTGTGTGTGTGTGTGTGTGTGTGTGTGTGTTCTATCAGTTCTGTTCCTTTAGAGAGCCTTGACTAACACAGATTATAATGTGTGTGCACACCAACATGCTACAGTAATCCTTGGAATCATTATTGTTATGTTATTATCATTATTATTATTATATTATATCCCAATATGGACTCAACTGTAGAGCAGATATAACCATCTGTTCAACTGCCCTTCACTCGGCAAGGCAAGGAAGGCAACTACTGATTCAACAAGTCAGGAGAGAGAGGAAGCAGGCAGTGAACAGACAGACATGAAGGAGAGTCTGAAACTGTTGGACAAAAGTGCCCACAAATTTTACACAGTCCCTGACTTCCAATAGTTTGCACACATACAATGGATGGACAGTATGACGATTAATTTATATCTTGGTAAATCTACCTCAAAAATAAAAGTTGATGTAAAACAAGAAGTGAGGAACAGTTGAATGAGGTCGGAATACAGTAGAGATATTTCCTTCTAAGATTAGATGGACTCCCAATGTAGCCATTAGGAAAAACCCGGAAAAAGTCACCTGAGAAGCAGAGAGGCTTCATCCAGACTAAATGGCTGAGTAGGATTTGAATTTAAAGGGGAGAGAAGAGGGTTCACCACAGGGCAAGTAAAATCACAGGAGAAAAGGCCCCTGTATGGAGGAGGCTTGGTATGGAAGGGAAGGAGGTACAGGCAAAGAGTAAGGGTTGTGAAGCCTAAGAAAACAGGGTCAAGGGCTGGACACTGTTAGAAGGCCAGAAAATCAATTACACATTCTTTCCCTCCACATGAGCCCACCAGCCGAAGTTTCTTTTGTTTGACGGGATACGCATGGCAAATCAGAATGCTTGGAGGATGCTGCAGTCCTTACGAGAAGCAAAAACATCCCAGGGACTTCACAGGTGCATAAAAAGCAACTAGTTGTGGCTCAGACTGCATAAACCTAACTAGAGTGGGCGCAGTGAATCCCTTTGCTAATAAAAAGGTGTTCCTAGACCCATTCTTCCATAAATTTTTACTGTAGTTCTTTATTTTCAAGAAGCAAGAAAAACCAACGGATGTCACATTTTAATGAGCAAATTATTCCAAAAGTATGAATAAAGTCTTCAATTTACTCTCCACAGAAACCTAAAACCCTATCTACATTTCACAGAATCACCCACAACTAAGGGCAGACTCTCGATAGCCCAGATGAATCGCTTTGGTTGCTGGACCTCATGATAACTCCCTAACAAACCAACTCTTCAGTTTTGAACAGCTCCTCTCCTAGTGGTGAGGCAAGCTGCGACCAGACTACAGCACGGGCAGAATCGATGACTTCAGTCCCCATTCCATGCCGTTGTGTAAGAGAGAACCCAGTGTCCGCATGTTCACAAAGCAGCCCACGCCCCGCAGCACCCTCCTCTGCAGGAGGAGGCTTCTGGGCCTGCATCATTGGTCCACCAAGCATCTTGTTTACTAGGCCACCCAGATAAGATTCCATTTACATGTCACATTCTCCACCATATAGTCATTTGTAAATCGTAGTGAGATCCACCCCACCCACACCTGTAGCACTGATTATGTTCATTTGGGTGTGGTCACAGGTGCGGGACGTGATGGAAGGCAGGACTAGATCTGGGGTCCCAGACTCCAGCGGGCCCTCTTGCTTTCAGTCGGACACAGAGTACAGCCTGGGTGGATCCTGGGACCTGGAACCTGCAGTGGTCACCCACCTCTTGTGTAGGTGCATTCTCCCCTAATAAACTTCACTTAACCTGTACTGAGTCTTGTGAATCTTGATTCCCACTCAGTGTTATATATGTTGTTGAGTCAAGTGTGAGATACACAACCTAGGAAACTATTTTAAGCATAGACACCTAGCAAAACATTCTAACATTAGATGACAGCTAATTTCATCAGTTATCCCAAATTAATACCCAAGCACCATATTTTAAAAACAAAATTGTGTCTAAGTTGCTTGGGTTAAGATAAAGGTGTGTGACTCTGCCCCAATGTATGTGGGTCTCATTTGGAATTCACTTCAGAAAAAGGCTTGTGCTTTGGTGACCAAGAATGACTGAGGTAGCATGCAATCATAGAACCCATCCAACCTGGCCAGAGCAAGACAGATATCCTTCAAGATCCAGTCCAGCTCAGGGGGCCTTCACCTCCCTCATCTACAGCAATAGGAATATGTTCTGCATTGAGACTGCAAAACACCATTGTAAATTTAGACATTTATTTTTGCCAAATTTGTAAAAAATGTTAACAGTTCCCATGTTTCATTTTACTTTAACTTAAAACTAATATTCTAGTGTCTTGTTTATTTGGGAGACTTAAAACACATAATTCCTCAAATATGTCATTATATTTGTAGCTTTAAATTTTGGAACTGTTTCCCTTAGGGTTACTCAAGAGTCCCAAGTGTACCAAAGTCCTTTTCCGACTCCTCAGTCTATTTTGAGATCTGCTACATAGTCATGAAAACTGACAGTGCATTCTAAAGAGAGTTTCCTATGCAAGCAAGGACTGAACATGGCTTTGTAAGAGTACCTTCTTTTATTGCTGCCCTGCTAAACTAAATATTGAAGGAACAACCACAGTGTGTAGCAATATGTGTTAATAAAAGTATCTTATAGTGGCAAGCATGGACTTAGGGCCAAAGGAAATTAAATGTACTAAATAGGGCACTTAAAAAAAATGTTTACATCAGGCTATTTAGATGTGACTCATCATGGAGCCTACTAATTTATAATTTCATCTCCACATATTCTAAAGACGAAATTGCCAATCTGTGACCTTTCTCTTATTATAATCTATAATATTATTCACTATAGCAAGCCAAAAAGTTAACTTGTAATTTTGGGGATAGCATATTCCTGAAACAATTTAGTGATCATACACACACACACACACACACACACACACACACACACACACACACACACACCAAAACTAATCTGTTACCAGGTAAAAGAACTCCAAATTCCTTCTTCTACATTCTGCAGGAGTAATTGCTGCTTCAGTTTTAATCAAGGAGCTGGGAATCTAGATTTACTTTTAAGCAGCTGTTTTATAATTTCCTGGATATGCGTAATTTCTCAAAGTGGTTGAAGTCATTTTGATATTATGTCAACAACAGCTTATCTGGAACATCAGCCCAAGCATTTTTTTAAAAATTCACATTGACTTGTACCTTTTTCAAGCAGTTTGCCTTTGTAGATACAAAGGTTCTCTCCTCCACAGTGCTGTTGGTAAATCTTGATTTCATCTCGAAAGTCTTTGTCATCATAGGATAGGTGCACATTCTTCCCAAGATAGACCATTGTGATAACTGCATTGCTATGCGGGGCAGCTTTGTAAATCCTCCCTTGATCCTAGGATAGACAACGCACAGACTTAGTGACTATGGGTCTTCCCATGAGACCTCCTGTTCCCACACGACTTTATAATATGAAAAACAGAGACATGTAATTCCTAGCACACCATAACAAAGTATTTATAAAAGGGTCATTGCGCACAATACATTAGAATCAAAAACATTATGAAATAAATTTGTCTTGGGGACTAGCATCCAGATTTGGGCTTTGGGCTTTGTAAATGATAGGGACACAATGTTGTTATTTTCCCCCTCAAGTTCTCCTCTCTCTGTGTTAGAAAGAACTTACTTTTGACTCTTTCAGCTACTTTTCAAATAAAAAAATTCAAACAAAAGAACTGAATAAATACTAATGTTTTGGTTTCAGTTGATATTGATCATGACCCAGTGACAGTTTTTGAAGTGACCACTTCATCTTTATAAGTGAGCAAAGACAACAGACCGTTTCTTGGTCCATTCTAACTGAGAGGTGCATGGACACAGAGAGTCCTCCTGGGGTCCCTGTATAAGGATAGGTGACCATGTATGTCAAGTGCCTGGGATTATGACATTGATGTCTAATTGGTTTCTCTGTTGAAGAAAACAGCTGACCAACTACAACTAATTCCAAGAGTTGAGAGAAAATATATTACAAACACTATTGAGTTTGTTGACTGCAGCAACAGTTCAGCTTGCTGTGCGGGATTCCTAAGATGGCAGCAATGAGTTCTGTGACCATGGACCATTTACTTAACCTGACATGCTTCATTTCTAAAGTTAAGAAAATGTGTGTCCTTTTTAAGACTTACATTGCCTATGGCATGTTAAACACTGTATCCCACTATATCTCACTAAATAATAGATGTCATAAGTATTGCCATTAAGCAATACTTTTCATATTTTGTTAAAAGTCCACAGAGCATACATATAAGAAAAGACAATTAAATGAAGAAAAGACAGTAAGTAGTTTGAAAGCAAGTATATTTCCAGATGATAATACCATGGAACAAAGAGTAGACCAGCTTAAGTAGTAGTCAGGCTGGCTTGGCAGAGGTGGGAGAGAGGGCTGGGGGGTGGGCAGAACTGAGATCTTGCCCATCAGTGGATGAAGGAGTTTGACTTCTGACTCTGATGTTTTTTGCGTCTCAGGCTTTACTGGCCTGGAGAAACCATGTGAGAAGATGATGCTGTCAGAACAGAGAAGCAAGCATCAAGGCTGAAGTTGGGTCGATGCTCAGACTGAAGGTGAGAACAAAATAAAGCCTCAGGAATGAGAAAAAAAGGGTAAGAGAAATGAGACTGCCCGGAGGAGTGTCTGCAAGGGGGAAGCAAAGCTTTGAGGAAACAGGGAGGTTCCACATGAGGGATGCTACCAAAAAAATGTCACAGTAAGGAATGTGATGGGACTAAATTCATGAATGGAGCAGATACCTAAATTTAATTAAATACAAACCACCTACCTACTATCTTGACACATTAAAAACCTAAACTTTTATACCTAAAATTCAAAAATGCTAAAAGTAAAAAAAAAAAAGTATATGAAAACTTGTGAGTGCTGAGAAAGAAACCAGTGTTATCAGTTAGAGCAGCAGATACTCTAACCATTGGGGCCCCTCTCCACCCCCAAACAAGGCATTCTATAAAGGACGGCCAATGAGCACCCAAGATTATAATTTAAATATGACATGAGAACAAAAATCTCAATCGACTGTGTGCAAAATAAGAATGACGATTCCTGCAGCAAGAAAGGCATCAGGACAAATAAATAAAAACAGGAAAGAAAAGTTGATTGTTAGAATACTAAAAGGTAAATTGAGGAGCTATCCCTTAGCAGAAACAAATTTCAAAAGGAGAATCATAGGTGCACATGCCTGTGTGTACATGCATGCATGTGTTTGTTGTGATTATCAGTCCATACATATAGATAAGGGTGATAGAACTGCATTCACACAACTCAAAAAAAAATGAGTATACTTCAGGGGAACAAAAACAGAGATGAATGAAATGAAGATGCCAATACAGGATGTGAAAGCAAAATTCCACAAGAGATACAATTAGTGAAGAAAGCCAAACTGAAACAATGCTGGAAATGAAAAGCTTAATTATGCACAGGAAAACATCACCAACAGAATAGACTGTATAGAAAACAGAGTATCAGGGCTACAGGACAAGGTACAGAAATTGGATCAGACAGCTAAGGTAAATAATAAGTTTTAAATTTATATAAAAAGAACAATGGAGACATCTGGAATACCATGAAAAAAAAACCTAATTATCATATTTTCAGATTATGGGAACAGAAAAAACTAACAGCAATTGTATAGAAAATATTTTCAAGGAAATTTGCAAACCTAAAGAGGTGAACATCGGTATACAGACCATAAGAACTATAAATAGACTCTGAGAAGAAACTCCCTGTGAAATATAGTGAAAATACTAAGAGCACTATTGGAAACTAACAGAAAGGTCAAGTCAGCATCAACCAGAATAATTGTGATTATTCAGCAAAACTTTTAAAACCATAAGCACCTGAAAAGAATATTCCACAATCTGAAAAACCATGATTGTCACCCTAGACTATTCTCCCCAACATAACTATCCATTAAATTTGAATGTTAAATAAACATTTTCTATGATAAAAGCAGACTAAAGGATTTAGGACCACTAAGCTAGCTCTGCACAAAACAGTTTGGTTTTGAATGAGGAAAACCACACACAAGGGGTCCCAGAGATTTAATAAATGATACCAGAACAGTTTATCAAGTGAGGTCTGAGAAAACTTCACACAGTCACCAAAACGACAGATACTAACACAGAGATTTCAATAATAACTCTGGAGGCTAAGTGGCCTGAATTCCCCAGTAAGAAGGCACTTCACACCCAATAAAGAAAAATCCACAGGGGAGATGTAATTATAAATATGTATGTACAAAACACAGGCACACCCAACTTCAAAAATTAATACTAAATGATGTAAAAGCAAATATTAACCCCAACACAGCGATAATAATTCCAATACCTCACTCTCAACAGTAGACAGGTCATCTAAAGAGAGAAACATGACATCTAAAGAGAGTTAAATGACATCATAAACTAAGTGGCCCTAAAAGATGGCGATAGAACATTCTGTTCAAACATTACATAACACACATTCTTTTTAGAATTCCATGAAAACTTTGTCCAAAATTGGACATGTACTGGGACACAAAGAAAATCTTATCAAAGAGAGGAAATTTAACACAGCATATTCTGTTTGACTATAATGGAAGAAGGCCAGGTATCAACAGCAATATAAACCACAGAAGGTACATAGAGGACTCAAACACACAGAGACTAAACACTACTGAATGATTATCAGGTTGCTGAAGAAATTAGGGAATTAAAAAAAAATGTCTAGAGTTAAGTAAAGAAAAATACAAGATACCAAAAATCTGTCATACGCAATTGAGATAATCTTTTAAAAGTCACTTGAAGTGGTGACGCAAGCACTCAGGAGACTGAGGTTGAGTTCCTGGCCAGCCTGGTCTACAAAGCAAGTTCCAGGACAGCCAGGGCTGTTACACAGAGAAACCCCATCTTGAATAAATAAGCTAATTAATTAATTAATTTAAAAGTTGAGTGCCACCAGGACCTATCCCAGATGCATAAACTGGTTTTTTTGGAGCCCGTTCCCTATGGTGGGATACCTTGCTCAACCTTGCTACAGGAAAAGGGCTTGGACCTGCCTTAAACTGGTATGCCAGACTTTGTTGATTACCCAAGGAAGGCCTTAAACCCTCTGAGAAGTAGATGGGTGGTGGGAAGGCATAAGTGGGGGACGAGGGAAGAGAAGGGAGGGGAAACCTGGCTTGATACATAAAATGAAAAATCATTTTTTAATTATAAAAGGTTGATAATGCCAAGTGCCTATATCAAAAGGCTTGAGAGATCTCAAATCAATAACTATGGACATGCCTTAAGGACCTGTAAAACAAGAGCAAAACAAATCCACAAACAGTAGATAGTAAGAGACAACCAAAATCAGTGAAATAAAAATCAAAAACCACAAAGAACCAATGAAACAAAGTTGGTGCTTCAGAAAGAAAAGCAAGATTGGGAGGAGGGGAAGAGAGATCTAGAAATAAAAAGGGAAAACCAAAGAAATCCAGGAAACAATGAAGCAAGGGTGAGTCATTCCACATTATCGCTCCTATATCCGCGGGATGGGAAAGTGAGGAAGCTGTTAGGAACACTGGTGAGGGAGAGTGAGTAGATACAGTCTAAGAGACAGAGGCGGGGGAGGAGGGCTGTACACTGCTGACTCAGGAACTCACCTGGGCTGGTACACACATCAGCCCACACAGCTGTGGTCGCCTGCACATGTCCAAGCCAGTCACTACTCTAGCATGGGTTGGGGATAAGCCTCTGAAGCCCCTCCCGAAACTTAGGAGCTTTTTGCAGTTGGTGATGTTAAGGGAGGGATGGTCACTTTTATTTGGGGATGTTACCACTGACAGGTTATCCACACCCCAGGGGTGGCCCCACAATCATTCTTAAAGGATCAGCACTAATGGGCTCAGAGAAATAATTAGTTAATGAATAATAACAATATAGACATAGGAAGTAGTTGGTGGTGGGTTTCCGGGGCACTTGGTGAAAGGTGATTGGGAGGAAATATGTCAAGAGTGAAATTTTCAAAGAACAAACTTTTTTAAAGTGTGAAGGAAAAGAAAAAACTGGCTTGAGGTGCAGTCTGCATAGAAAGGATTTGATAACGACATAAAAACCTGATCTCTTGGAAGAAGCAGAGACAATATACCAAGAAGGTGGAAGACACAAACTGCAGAGTGCAGTGTCAGTCAAAGACAAGGCACTTGGGGCAAAGGAGTCTTCCGGGATGAGAGAGCAAAGGCTCTGACAGAGACAGAATCAGAGAGAGAGGGCTGGAGAAAATCAAATCGAGAGAAGGGAATTTGAAATGCCAGGGGAAAGCAAGCCCTGGCCTGTTGAGAAGGACAGAGGGGGGTCTCTGCTGAGAGTGAGATACAGGCAGGGCTTGGAAAAGGGTGCTGGAGACGAGGCTGACTTGGAACCGCAAGGGGCCGAGTGTCTGTGCCTTTGAGAACTTCACCTGATGTTCTTTCTCTCTGGAAAATGCCAACCCCACTGTCTACTAAGAGTCAGGGAAGTTCCGTGTAATTAATGTGGTTATGTATTTACCAAGTGAAAGAAGGGAGCTCCTTTGCTCTCTTACTAGACTTAAGCTGTGCATGGTCCATCTAGGCTTACAAGCGTGTGCTATATCGATGTTTTGGGGGAATGTGTGATGAACCACGGCATTTTTCAAAGAACGCTGAAAACATTGTAGGCAACATTAACTAATTTGCAATAAACCATTAAAAACAAAATTAAGCTATGCTTAAATCCATGAATTTTCATGAATTAAATGTTAATATACTCTGAATGATGAAATTAAGGGAAGCAAAATTGGAGTCAGTCAAACTAAATCTGGCCACAAGACTTCATGAGTCTTCTATCACCAATTCTGCTAAATTCGCCATTCAGCTGGAGTACTTAGATGTCTCATTTGACTTACGTGTTTATAGCTGTGCTTGCAAAAACATTGTATTTCTTTATGTAATGCAGTTTTGTACTTGATTCTAGAAAACTCTTGTAATACAGATCTAGAACTCAGCTGGTGTGCAGCCTTCATCACCAGTGTTACAGTACTAAAAGAACATTTGACTCATAGTCACCCTGGTGCAGAGGGGCTCTAAGCCGTTGGGAGCTGTGATGGGGCGCAGCCTTTTCCTCCTCCAAGGCTCGGACCTGTTCTCCCTGAAGATCTTTCCTGTTTGGGGTAGAGGTGTGGGAGGCACAGGTGTGTGGTAACTGTTAATGTCTGGAAGTTGGTAGGAATCCAGCCTCTGGGAATTGTCCATGCAGTTCCTGAACTTCATCATTGCCTTCTTGCCCTGTAATCACACACCATGACGTTAAGACCCAGTGACACACAAGCAGGGCCTCAGTGCAACTCCAGTGCAAACCAAAGGCAAGCCTGGATGACTGAGACTGCACACAAACCCACCTGAAAACAATAGCCCAACCCAAAATACACATTTGTACCTATTAAAATCATATTGTATCTATTGCAAATTCAATAAGCACATGTTTTTAACTCTGTGTAAATGTAGTTTCAATAAAAGATTTAAGAACAGCACTCAAGGGAGAGTTAGTTTAGTTGATTTCACACCAGGAGGCATGCAGGGTTGGACTCTGAAGTAGGGGTGGCCAGGGCACTGAGCAACAGGAAGCACTGTCCTCACATTCTGACCCCACACATCCCAAGGTTTGAACAGGCAGGATAAGCAAAACCATGATCAAATGCCAGATATACAGTGAATTACTTCAAGCTTAGTGAATGACAAACAAAAATATTCACCAAATTTCAAAGAGGATACTCTTTGACCTAGAAATCCTGCCAACGGGAATTAATCCTGGAACAGCTTTACCCTTAATATTCAGTGCAAGTATTAATACTTGGCTGTAAATGTGCATTAGGATACACATGTGCGTGTATTTTTTAAGTGTGTGTGTATATACATATTTAAATTCAGCTCAACCATAAAAACTTTAGCACCCCAAAAATCCATACATAGGAAAATAGTTAATTAAATTTTGCTTGGTTTCTTTAGTTAGATTATATATTTCTCAATAGGGTTTAGAAATATGAGCATATTTATACTAACATAGTAGCACAGACAGTATGATGCAACATTTCTTTTAAGTGATTTATATGTATATTTTTATTTAAAAGGCAAGAACAAATGGGAAATTTTAACCATTAATTTATCCTTGTGGTATATATCTTCATATTGTTTGAGGGTTTAATCAAAATGCCTCACTTTAGGCATTTTCTAAAAGTAAAGCAAAATCAGTAATCTTTGCCAGACAGACTTGAATCGAAACATTTTTACAAATTGGTTATTTTGTGTGTCTGAAGTGTATTTCCAAACTTTAAGGAATATTTAGATATTGTTATCCATTACACACCAATTTTTTAAAACTATACTTACACAATATAAATTTACATTGCATTTATATTTTTGTATTCCTAATTAATTTTCAGCCAATTTAGTCTAAATTTTGAAATGCTTAATAATAAAAAATTATTTTAAGGAAAGTAAGTTCTCCAAAGGGCACTCGTTACTAAGTAAATAAAAGCAGAGTACGTAAAAGCATGTCTAGCAGGCTGGAGAGATGGCTCAGGGCTTAAGAGCACTACCCATTCTTCCAGAGGCCCTGAGTTCAATTCCCAGCAACCACATGGTGGCTCCCAACCATCCATAATGTAGTCTGGTGCCCTCTTCTGAACTGTAGGGATACATGCAGGCAGAACACTGTATACATAATAAATAAATAAATCTTAAAAAAAATCATGTCTAGCTCAAACCTTGAATAAAACCACTTTTTCATAAGCAGGTTCTACTGTTCAGATATTAAATTACATTGAGTGTTCTTACTTGTTTCCAATTTTTTCTGCAAAAATAGGTTGCATTGAGCTTAGAATATCAAACTAAAAATAAATGCACATGATTCACATATATAAATTAATTGATCTAGGACATTGGGAATTTTTGATAACTTTTATTGCTTTTAGAAATAAGTATGATAGCTCATATCAGGTGATTGTCTTGTTTTGGAAGTGTATTTAATAATATTTTTGAAAAATTAGCTGGGTGGTAGTGGTGCCAGGCCTTTAATCCCAGCACTTGGGAGGCAGAGGCAGAACGATCTCTGAGTTAGAGGTCAGTAACCCACACTCTCAAAACTTGAGTTATATATGTCACCATGTGTATATATAACTATTACTTGCATGCAGTGTCTCAGAGTAATGGGGGGGTGAAAAATCACTGAAAGCAATAAATAAATAAATAAATAAATAAATAAATAAATAAATAAATCAGCTTCTGGGAGTCAAAAACCATGTGTCATCTCACTAGCGGTATTCTTATGCCTAGGAAGAAAATTGACCAAAGTAGAACTCAGAACTATAGAAGCTTGGGAAGAATGTAATCACCTTGGCCAACATGGGAAGTACCCATGGGAGCCCTGCCTAATGGGGAGGAAGTCCTACCCATCAGGCTTTGCATGTCCAGCTCTAATGGCAAACACTGACAGTTTTAGGCAAAGACCTGTGCATTTCCTGCTACTTTTGGCAAGCCCATTCCTAAGATGAGATGGGTGCCTCTGGAAGCCTTAACCTGATCCAGGAGCACTGCCTAGATACACAGCCCCCCTTCTGATTCTTCCATCACCAGGCAACATCCTTATTGTGATTCTGTCTCCCAGGAGGCTCTGCCAATGGGGGAGACAACATTGATCCTACAAGCTTTGGAGATTTGATGATGGATTAATGGCCCCTGGTCAGGACAAATCTCCTGTTTTCGATTACTATAAAGCAACAGTATCTTGCTTGTGTATTATTTTAAGTAGCCTGAAGTGGTCTCATAGGACCTGGCTACTTCAACTGGACTCTAGATCTAAGACCCAGGAGCCTGTCTCACTCCAAGCTGTTTCTGCAAACAAAAAGCCACCATTTCCCAATTAACTTCTCCTAGCATTTAAAAAGCTACCAGTAAACTACCTGAAAAAAGGTGTGTAAAATATTCTCATGAGCTAAAAGCACATTGAGTGGATTCGGATGCCACAGTTGCCTGGGTATATTTAGTATGAAATGCAAACACTTATTTATCTGCATGAAGGGCATTTCTCAGTGGAAGGGGACAATGTCTTAGGTTCGTGGTTGGTATTTCCTAGTAAGGAATGAAGCACATCCATCCCTTCCTCTTAATGACAGTGATGATCTTGACAAATTCTTAAGCTAGCAAATGTCCCTACAAGTTGGAAATGGCCTGGCTTATTTCCTCCTTGTTTAGGTAGATTCTGTTCCATGGCTAGCTTTCTCATAATCTAAAGAGCAAGATAACCCAAGATATAACCTTAAAAGGGATGTTGTGTCAAAGCCCCAGGTATGATGAGCTCAGCACATTTAAACGACAGACTTTCCCTTCCTTCTGTAACTCAACCTCCAAGTAACTTCACACACTGTTAGGAAAGCTAGTCCCAATTCAAACACAGACCAGCCATGCAATGTCCCATTGTCTGGTTCCCCTGGGTTTGATCCTCAAAGGGTCTCTTCTGAGGACAGACATTTGTGGCTTTGTTTTTCATCTAGCTTTCTTTCTCATAGTGAGCTAGCACTGAGCATCATTGCAAATCCACCCCTTACAGATTCTGTTTAATTCAATAAACAACATGCCACCTAGTCACAGAAAAGTAGTGTTCATCAGAAGTACACAGTAAGTGCTTAATGAATGTACAGAAGTTTCACTGTGTGGATGAGCTGAATGTGTCCCCTCAAAAACCTTTGATAGTACAAGATTCTAATCAACAATTTAAGGAAATATATTTCTTAAAGAAAATAGCATTTACCCCAATAGGAAATGGAGCTTCGCTTTCCAGCAATGAGGTTTTGGGTTTGGACCCTGAAGTTATCTTTGAAATATTTCTCGTTGCACAATTACTGAGAAGAGGCTGCAATCGAATCAGAGGCTGCATATTTCCTGGGGCAGTATACGGTCGAGAGGCTGTCTAGACAAACGGAGGAGTTACATTTAAATTAGTATCTTGACATATTTCCAGAACCAATTAATAACCCAACAAATTGCCCAGAGTAATTAATAGTCCCTTTTTACTGAACAGATTAAACTTTAATTATATCCTTCCATTATACACACCCTTCTGACCCAAAGTATTTGTTAAAACATATGGTGGTGAAGTCCTCTACATAACCAAATATCGAAGGGATGGAGCCTTGTAGACAAAAGAAATGGCCTCTATTATAGTTCCATATTCTTGCCTGTACTGTAAACTCTTGACAGTACTGAATTTGTGCAAAGGATGGCTTTGCTCAATTAAATGTTGAGTTGAATAATGTTCCTACTGTAGAGATCTGAGATGATATTATTGGAACAGACTCATTTCAGTTTCAATGTTTTCAATATACAATCTACTCTGAATTCATTACGCTGCAAGGTTGGCACCCAAAGTAAAAGCAGACAACAGGAAAGGCAGGTGCTTGGCTATAATGTACCACCAATTATGTGTCTTCAGCTGCTTCCTAGAAATGTAAGAAAACAAGATGAAAAATTATAGCTGGCAGCGCTGGGATGCACTATATAAAAATGAATGCTTTCCACACTGAGTATCTTTCCATTCGTTCTTCTGGGTGTCCTGTCTACCTTCTCTGTCTGTGGAGCTCTGGGCCCTGGAAGCAATTCCTTCAAGAATTTACCAACCAATCTCAGGACTTCAGTTGGATTCTACCAGAGAGAGGAACTACGTCAGAGAAGATGGGAGGATGAAACGGAGGCCCTTATTCCCACCATCCCTGAAGGGTGGTTCCCGCCACCCCAGTGCTTTGCTTCTGCACAGAACCTTCCTAGCTGTAGGCCCTACCTACTGCCCCTGGAATCTAACCCCTCCCATGCCCCATTCAATGTAGGAGCTGTGGTTTCCCCGTGGTGCTGGCCCCAGTGGGCTTACCATCTCTGTTGGTTTTTCTTTGCCCTGCTGTATCTTCCTAAATAGTTTCTTTATTAAACAACTTCCTAATTACTCTATTTGTATGAGCCATCTGTTTCCTGCTGAGCCCCCAACAGAGACACTTTCCAATCAAGAATGTACTGCAGCGAATACAAAAAGTGCCAGCATGGAACATTGTAAGTACCTTTTGGGGGCAACAACAGAATACTATAAGTTTTGTATAATGATTAGCAATGCGTCACAAGTGGAGAAGCACGAAGTTTTGGGCCCTGTTGTCCTATTAGATAAGGCAGGAGAAAGTATACCAAGAATAGGACATGCGTATTTGGTCAAACAGGTATGAGAAGGACAGTATATTAATGATTCATGAACAGAATTTTGTACATTGACTCTAAAGGATGATGAGCCACAAATATTCCATTCTGCAAAAGTATGTATAAATAAACACATAAAAACAGGCAGCCAGAGACTACTACCAATCCCTTGCTCTCTCAGCATCTTGAGAAGCATGTGTGCACACACTGCTAAACTTCTGATTTCTCAACAGTAGGCACATACTGAATCTCTGCCTTAGGCCATGTAAGGAGATAAAAAGTAATATTTAACATCCAAATATCCATTAGTCAATCAGGCTGATTGATGCCAGAGAACGGGGCTTATAATGATGGGCTCTTAGAATATCCACAGTTAACCGAGAGGGCTAGGGGAAGCTAAGTTCTCACACACACAGCTAAAATTTTATCCAAATGACAGGAGGCAGGAAGACGGAGATCTGAAGATCCAAGTGAGAGCTGGCTCTGAGCCTGGACCAAAGAAGAGCAGCAGAGACAGCACTGCCTAATATTCGCTTTCCTTTCTTCTCCAGGAAGAGCATGTTCATTTGGGATCATGTCTGGCACAAAGAGAGCACGTTCCCCAGACTTCTCTATGATTCTGCCCTCTCACTTTAGGCCAGTGAAATGCAAACCCATAAAAGCGACTCCTGACACAGGCGCTCATAGGGAAGGGGGGTAAGTCCTTACTTTCCCGCTGGCCCCTCTCCGGCCGGAGCATCCACATGGTGATACACAGCCCTGGCTGCTGTGGATGAAGCAGGTACCCCAAGTTGGTGGATGAGTAACACAGATGAAATCCAGGTGTTTGATGACTTCATAGAGTCACCTGAGACTCATCCATGTGCATGCCCTGGGGTGGGGATGAGTCCCCATGGTTAAGCCATTGTTACTTAGCTCACTTATGGTTTGAATGTGAAAAGCCTCTCGCTGGCTGTTTTCAACACCTGGTCCAAAACTGGAGCTGTTCTTTCATGAGTGTGTGAATCCATTGGTGGGTAAAGGCTAGCCAGAAGAGGAAGAGCTTCTCTCTGAAGGGCCGGTCTTGCTGCTCATAGAACACCCTGCTTCTGGCCCCCTCTCTGCCTCCTGTTCTGACAGTATGTGAGGTGCAGAAAGGCCCTAGCTTCGTGCTCCCTCGGTGGCACCACCTGCTTGGATGCCTTCTCCACCCTGATCCTCAGGCTACAAGTCACTCAAGCTCCTCCTACCTCAGTCATTTCTCAAAGATATTTTGTCTCAGTAACAAGGGAAGTAATGAACACAGAGTCTCTACAAACCTGAACCACAACAGACACAACTGAAGTCACAGATAAGAGGTCAGAAAAAAAACAAGAGATAAACCTTAGAGGAATCTTAAAATCCACATACAGAAATTAAGCCCCACACTTCTGAGTAAGAAACTCTTGTGACTCTACTAAACCCATACGCTGTTTTGAGTCTCTCATGCAATGATCCCAAGCATGAGAAATCTTGTGTTAAAATTTAGGGGAACTGGTTCCTACAAACCAGAGAGCATCATGGGGGATGTGCTCTTAATTTTACTGCTATGCATTTGCATACAAATGTCATCTCACTAGATGGATGTGGCAGTCAAATGCTCAACTGTTCACATTTATCTCCAAAGACAAATCTGTCCCATTAACTAACAGCTGTGTGCCCCAAACTCGTGTAGCTCATATCAGAGGCTACCTTAAGTTTGCTGCATTTCACAATGTGTGAATATATTTTCCTGTAATAAATATGGCACTGTCTTCATGTGCTCAAAGCCATACCAAAATGTGAGTTGGAACTGGCTACCTGGTAATTAGGCTTAGCTTGAGCTTTGCTAATTCTCAAGAGGACCCCATGGGAAGACTTTCCCAAAGATGCGCAGAATCGGATGAGATGACGTTCCTTGGTTTTATGAAGATGGCACAGCTAAATGTTTGCATGGTGTCGGAAAGTTTGGCCCAACTAGCAATGAAGTGCCAGGAACATGTGCTTCAGGTTTCCTTGAGAAGCTCGTGGAAAGTGGTGAAATCCCACAAAGCTTCCTGTCTCCATCTAAGGCTGTTGGTGGCAGCCAGGGCTGAAAATGAGAAAGGGTATGTCCAGGTGAGGATGAAGCAGGAAATTCATCTATGAATCTCAGTAGCTATCCAGGAAGGTGCACAGGACACACAGTGTGTGATCAGGTGTCTGGTTGGTAGCAGTGTAGCCTCTGACTTTTAAAGGAATACCTCACTCTTACACAGCGAGCCACAGACCATCTCCTGAGGGGTTCCTCTGGAAAACTGAAAAGAAACCCTTAAAGGGGCTTTCCCTCTCTGAACCAGGTAAAGGACCAAAAACAGCACTATTTCCTTGGTTTCTTCTGGGGAAATCTTGGAAGAGGCTAGTGAATTGCTGTCTAACAAAGGCATATTTGTGTGTACACACACACCCAACATTCAACTCAAACCTGGAAGAGGAGAAACAGTCCAGAGAGACCTGGGGCTTACCAAGACTTGGGCTGTTCACCCAGGACAGGTCAAGACATGATTAACTTTTGTAGAATGTTGGAGCTTAATGCCGTAAGGGACAGCCTTCCTCAACAGTCTGTGAAGGCTTTATAATTTCTCCACAAATATTATACAACAGAAATAAAAATGATTGGACTTTACAAGGAAAAACATCCAGTCATGAAAACCAAGAGTAAAGATGTCAAGGGGAGTTTACCCCCTTTCAACCACCAACATCCAACAAACACTATTTAAAACTTTCCTGAATCTGTATTGTTTTGAAGAACTATTCCTTCCTTCCAGCAAGTATCACCTCTGGGCAACAGACAAATCATTCTGGGATAAAAGTATCAGTTTACAATTTCTTCAGATTGGATTTCAGTTCATTTAATTATCTCAAAGTAGAAGTACATCCTTTTGATAAATGGTAGAATGTCACTAGCACGCAGCATGGCACTGCTGAGTTTGTACAGATAACAGAATAATAGCAAGAATAATACCCAGACGACAGAAAACACAGAGCATGTATGACACAACCAGAGTCTTCGTTCTGCCACATTGCTGAGCGCTGGAGGGTCAATACTGAGATAGGTAACTGGAAGTCATTATTGGTATTAGGTAGAATTTGCTTTTTTCTATAGGCAAAACAGAGGGGGGTGGAGGGCTGGGGGAGGGATCTGGGTATGTGTGTAAGCATAAGTGATCCCCACTCTAGAAGCTGGGGTGACAGCTGCATGTACAGGGATTTGACTGGAGGGGGTACTGTTAATGGAGACTTGAGCAGTTATGAGTCTGTGGTTTCCAACTGTTCCTTTGACTATGTTTTCAAGAATGTAGGATAGTGCAGACATGCTTCCCAGAGGGTCTTCTTTCTGAGATTAATGAGAAATCATAAATTAATTAGCTGGGACAGAGTGCTTAATAGGGCTCACCAGTGTTAATGGACTAGAACGTCCTTCCTCAGCCAGAATGCTACAGCCCCGGTTAGTCTTTGGGCCAGCTGGGGGATGGGGAGTCAGAATGGGCATGTTATCTTCAGTAAATCGTCTTGTGTGTTCTCCCTATAATGAGAAAGGAATTTGTGGAGTTAATGTATAGATGATTGGGTTAGTTTAGCACCTGACACATTCATATTATGAGATCAAAGCCTGCCCCACTAAGAATGCTACTTGGTGTCCTGACAAGGAAGTTAGCAAGGCTCTAATAGGATTGGGGGTGTGGTATTAAGTGGCAGAAAACTGTGTCTTTTCTAGCTAGAGACCAAAGAGTCACTCTGAGCCAGGTGGTGGTGGCTCATTGCTTTAATCTCAGCACTCCTGAGGCAGCGGCAAGTGGATCTCTATAAGTTGAGGCCAACCTGGTCTACAGAGCTAATTCCAGGACAGCTAGGGCTCCACAGAGAAGCCTGCCTGAAGAAATCAAACAAACAAATTTGGGGGGGGGGAGAGTTACTCAGAGTAACCTGTACTTCAATGATAATGTTTAGCAGGCCACTACACAGTGACCATTGTACTTCTCTACTCTGACCAGTGGAGACTACCAGAAACGACTGAATTTTTTTATGTAAAAATAATTCAATAATGCCCTGAAGCAAAAGTTTGCCTCTTAAACAGAAGTAAGGAACCTAACACATGCCTTTGCCAATCACAAATCGGCAATGAGCTTTGACAATCCCAATAGAGGCGCCAAATGAGAGGAACTGAAGTGTCTCCAGCGCCCTGTTCCTCAGCTGCCATTGCACAGGACAAATGAATACAAGAGCTGCAGCACACCCTGCTTCAGGAACTGGAACTCAGTATTTCCAGTCATCACCCCCCACATTTCGGCAGATAAATTACAGAACCTGTAGCAGTCCACAATGCAAGGCATGGCCAGCCAAGCTGAATGAACCTGGAGCCTCTGCACCTAAGTTCTCCTGACCCCTGGGAAGGGATCTACGTCCTGCTATTCAACACTTTACTAACAAGATTAGCATTTGGCCCCAATAATATAAATTTGAACCCAGATAGGAAAATTTTAGTCTTACAGAACAGGTTGTCCTATGAACACTTTGCAAATAATCAGTTTGTGAAATGTGTTCTACATTCTGCATTTGTAGTACCACAGAAAATTAAGAACAAACAGCTCACAATTTCAAATAGTTCAAGAAATCAAATAAATCTGCCATCCCAAACTGAAACATGCCTAATTGAATCTCTCATCTCCTGATTCAAATTGATGTATTTTGTAAGTTCACTGCAAAGAACAAAAATAGAGAGCCACCAAGGGGTTTAAAAATATCTGGTACAAAATGTCTTAGATCTGATCTCGCTTTCTTTCACCAAGGAAGCTTATTCCCACCATGGTTTTCAAGGGTGACATTCGAATGAAAATGTGTGATCATATAATTCTTCCAGTGTTTTATTTTCCTTCATACTGGGACATTACCATTTCTATTTTCTTAAGATATATGAATATCCTTTGACCTCTCTCTCACATACAAAATAAAATATTAAAACACACACACACACACACACACACACACAAGCCAGATTTCAAATTTGGCTATTTTTAATTTTGTCTTGGAAAGTTTTTGCATTGTTAAAATGCACTTCTCAGAGGCAGGGCTTATTTTATCAGTGCCCATATAGATGACAGATAAGATCCAAGCTCAGTAGAAACACTTGCTTGACCTCGGTTACATTTGCGGTCCAAAAGTAGGTGCCTCTAGACATTCAATAATAACTGCCAGGGGGTTGGAAACATAAAATGCTATTAAAAGGCAAAAGAGTTTACCTTCAACCTCTGAATCCGCTCTTTCCTAGCTAAGGTGTCCAGTTTCCTTTTTATTTCAAGCTGGTGGTAGCGCTGTGGAAGACAGAACCATGCTAGTTAGAGCCAAGAATATTTTAGAGGAAAATAATCCCAACAGAAGTAGCTTTATTCTCAATAACCCCTCTTGCCATTTAGATGGAGAAGAACCACCTGCCTAAGTGTGCAGGTGGGAATATCAATTGCCAGTTACAAATACATCTTAGCTAAGAGGATCCATGCCCTTTAACCAGAAATTTCACTCCTCATCTGAAGAGGAAAACTGAGTAAGGACTTTTAAGTGTCTTGCACAAAAAGAGATACTATCTGAAAGTGGCCCCACCCCTTCAATTTCTTTGAAGAAGAAAGTGAAAGAATGGTATGGAATTCAAAAAAAAGGTAGTTACATGTTCGGTGCATCCACGTGCTGGGACAGAATATAATCATTAAAATAAGGTTTCTTT